CCACCTGGGAGTTTTACTTTCCAATAAATCTTTATACCGCATCCAAACATTGTATAATGCTTTCCTAACAATATGGTTTTTGAAACCTTTATGCAATTTTACCTTGTAATACCATATATATGCATGCCAACCAAATCTATTATCAAACCCTTCCAGATCCAAAATGTCTGTATTCTCAAGAAGTAACCAATGTTTCAACCAGCAAAAAAGCTGCCGATTCATAGTAGAGTCTTAAGTCCGGCAGGGCAAACCCCCCTCTATCTTTTGCATCAGTTAAAATCTTAAATTTTATTCTGGGCTTTTTGCCCTGCCAGACAAATTTAGATATGTCTTTCTGCACTTCTTTGAAACAGTCCATCTTGTCCAAAATCTGCAACGTCTGGAATAAAAACAACATTCTCGGCAATACATTCATCTTAATGACAGCAATTCGGCCTAACAAGGAGAGTCTCAACCTTGACCATATTTCTAGGTCTTTCTTTACTTCTGTCCAGAATGGATAGGTTTGACCTTCTTGCAGTCCATGGGACTCTCAAGAGTCTCCTCCAGCACCATAATTCAAAAGCATCAATTCTTCGGCGATCAGCCTTCTTTATGGTCCAGCTCTCACTTCCATACATCACTACTGGGAAAACCATAGCTTTAACTATACAGACCTTTGTTGCAAGGTGATGTCTCTGCTTTTTAAGATGCCACTCTTTTATTGACTATGAGGGACCCTCCATTTTTTTTTATGGGATTCTTGTGCACAGTAGTAGATATGATGGTCATCTGAACTGAATTCGCCCATTCCCGTCCATTTTAGTTCACTGATGCCCAGGATGTCAATATTTATTCTTCCCATCTCATTTTTGACCACATCCAACTTACCAAGGTTCATGGTTCTTACATTCCAGGTTCCTATGCAATATTTTTCTTTACAGCATTGGACTTTCTTTTCACTTCCAGGCATATCCGCAACTGAGCGTCCTTTGGCTTTGGCCCAGCCGCTTCATCAGCTCTGAATCTACTTGTACTTGTCCTCCACTCTTCCTCAGTAGCATGTTGGATACCTTCCGACCTGAGGGGCTCATTTTCCAGCGTCATAACTTTTATATGCCTGTTGTCTTTGTCCATGGAGTTTTCTTGGCAGGGATACTGGAGTGGCTTGCCAGTTCCTGCTCCAGGTGGATCACGTTTGGTTACTTTGCTTTGGTAAACGTTGCTTACGAGTTATAATTCCCTTTTCTTCTCTCTTCCCCACCTCCCACTTTCCCCTCGCAGCTCTTTCTTTTACGCCTTCCTGAATCTGCTCATCAGCGCTTTTGTGGTTTTCGTCATCTTCATCGCCAGCACGATTGTAAGCGTTGGCTTTAACATGTGGTGTGACGCCATCACCGAAAAAGGAAGCATGCCCAACAGGTGAGTGTGGCAGGGGAGGGTCCTTCCCATTGATGCATGCACTCAGATAGACGGGAGGCAATAAGCGAAGGGCAGGTATGGAAGCAAGGGAAACAGGCAAAAAGAGGTGTGAGCTGGAAATAATCTCCTAACGGTATGATGGGTAGCTACAGCGAGGCCAACGGAAGAAGAAATTGCCCCTTCTTTGGCTTACATTGTCAGATGCAACACAGGACAGAGATCCACTGCCTTTAAGAATTATCTAGCAGCATTGCAATGGGAGAAGTTAACTTCCCCCTTTTCTGTGATTTGAGAAAAAAAAGAAGAAGACTACTGGAGGCCAGTCCTGTATTGAATATGGCAGTTTGGACCTTGAAACTGCAGCACCCTTCGTCAAACAAAGCAAGATATGGAAGGAGGGGAAGGAAGAATGGTTAAGCACTTCTATACCACACGGGAAGTGAAAATTGGGATGTGCAGAGCATTTGATTACTACTATTATATTCCTTGTCCCTCAAAATCCAGGACTTGATGTGTATCCTGAAAGATTTAAGCTCATTTTGGGATGGGGAACCTCAGGCAAGGGGATCCTAGGCTTCTCTACGTGGCCCTTGGAACTGTCCTCAGACCACACCACTCCATAGCCATGTCCCCCCCTCACCCAGCCCTTCTCTCCACTCTTTTTGAGTGGTTTTGCCTGGCTGGAATGTGCTGTTGAACCCCAATAGTGTTTTTTGCTGGAGGATAGAGAGGGATGGTGGAGGTGAGGGAGGGACCCGTGAGTGTGCTTAAAAAGTAGCCTATGAAGGTGAATTTCACACTTGTTACTCCACCCACTTTCCCCTCTGGCCCCGCCCATCACAGACCCATGACTCCCAGAAGGTTGCACAGAATGGCATGTGGCCCCCAAATTGAAGAAAGGTTCTTCGCCCCTGAGCTAGTACTAGCCTATCTAAAAATCTGAAAGATATGCACCTATCCTATTCTGGATAAATGAAAATGGGACGTAATTTGCTTCATAGTAAAGGGCAGTAATCCACATTAACATGGTTGGGTGGGGAATATGCTGTTGTTCCTTTACACAACTGAATTAGCTTGGCAAGGGATGGGGGTGGGGGTTGATTTTCAGAAGCAACTAGGAATGTGCATCTAAAATGCTTCCAGGCTGCAATTTAAATTTATCACTGTTGTAGAGTATTAAAGCCCAGCAATATTGCACAATTGAGAAATTATCCAGCGTATTGAACCACTCTGCGTGTTTGGTACTAGAAATATTTTTATTGAGAGTCTAAATTTCTTTCCCTTCATGCTTTTTTTTTAATAAAAAAAATATCCACTGGCTCATAAAGTAGAAGATAAAATGGTGACATTTTATGTCATATGATACAGATAAACTGCATTGCTAAAGCATTTACTTTGTTTCACCTTGTCATATGTTGTAAAATGCCATTAGTGAATGTTCTGTTTAGGGCTGCAACGGTTATTCGAATATTCCGTTAAAAGGGGAGGTTTTTTTTGAAAACAAAAAAATCTCTGGACTAATAGAATATTCGGATAAGCATCCAAGATGGCTGACAACACTGGAAAGGAAGGAGAGAAAAAGAGAGAGAGACAGACAGAGAAAGAAAGAAAGAGAAGAGGCCTTCTGAAACCTCAGAACCCCGGGGAATTGTTCACAGCACCAAGTAGAAATCCAAGTTACCTGTAAACAAACCAACCCAAAACCACCCGTAGGCAGACTCTATCTGACCAACTCTTTGCTCTGGAGCATCTGAAACAAACAAAACAAAAACCACACACACACGCAAACACCCCTTTCTTCTGAAGTCTTCTCTGGTGATGTCAAAAGGTAATGGAGGCTCATAACTCAAGTTTCATTGTGGGGTGATGCGAAAGTGGGGATTGTCTGTGTGGGTGGTTGAGTCGGTGGGGCAAAATAAAAGAGCTTAAGGCTTTTCAAATGCTGGTTTTAGGTAAGATGGAGGACTTCCCCTGCACATTTTTGCTTCATTTGCATTGCATGCTTTATTGTTTCTCACCCCCAGTAGTCATTGTCAGTCTGGGGGGCCCCCAGCAGTGTTTCTCTGTGTGTGTGTTTTTTTAATGTACGGTGCTTATGGGTCTAAAGGTCTCCTCCAGTTTGGCATGATGATTCTTGAACTCAAGGATAGTTCGTAAACTCTGTGTTGGGATACCATCGGACAAGATGGTGGACTCAACCTTTCAAAACTGCAATGTAACCCAATTTTGCACGATGGTTCCTGAACTCAAGAAGCCGATCACCACCAAATATGGCCTGATGGTTCATGAGATCAAGGAGCAGGTACGAGGTAGGTTAGGCTGAGAGAATCTTGACGGGCCAAGTTCACTTCATGAGCTTCATGGTTGAGAAGGAATTTGAACCTGATTCTCCCAAGTCATAGTCAAAGCTCTAACCACTACACCACACTGGCCAGAGGTCAATTCAGTCTGATGCAAGAAGGTTCTTCTTACATTCTTATGCCGAGGCTGGTATGTTGTGCTAATTGTGGCTGTAAACTCCCTTGTGTATCCATTTCACAATTATTGTGCAATGGCCAAAATGCATGCTGGTCTCCTATTTTATTTTTTAATTTTTTTACGATTCCATTGAAAGGTCCTGCCAGATTAGAGACCCAATTTAGTTTCAGAATGCAGACACGGACAAAACATTCATACAGCTTCTCTCTTTCCCTTAATCTGCAGGAAATTGATCAAAGTGGGAACAGTTGGCAAAGTATTTGAAGGGACGTTGACATTTTGGCCTTTGCTCCATTATTTCTGGTTGAGATCAAACTGCAATAAACTCTGACTGGTTCAGTGGCATGCGCTGAGAGACAGAGGCTGCAATATGAAAGTTTATCTGTGTTTCAAGGATAGCAGGATGATTGTTTTATAATGAAGATGTTGTCATCCAGTTGTTATATATGGCAGTGGGCTATTGCTTCTTGGGAATGGAGCTTTATTGGACAGGATTTAGAGGTCTGTTTCAGCTGGAGCTCAGAAAAGGTCATTTGGAATTGCTGAAATGATTTTCATTTCCTCCCCTCCCCCTCATCCAAAATGTCTTCTCCCTCTAGCTGTGAAGAATTACAGGATATAGATCTTGAGCTGAATTTAGAAAACTCAGCATTCTACGACCAGTTTGCCATCACACAGGTAAGTCAAGTGATCTCCCCCAAAGTCTCTTTGTTTGTCCATAGAGCTGATAAGTTGAAGCTCTGGAAAGGAATACTGATTATTGGCTGTAATAATGAGATTGATTAATTGATTGCTCGATCTCTGGAAAGGTTCTCAGTGTCATCTTGTCTCCTCTGGGAATCAAAAGTAGCATCCCTGATCAGGATGGGGTAGAAATTCAATTCAGTATGCATTTAAAGGAAGATCTATCAAAATCACACTTTCTGGGGCAACATGAGAAGCAAAAGATGGTCAGCCTTCAGATAAATTTGCAATGATCTGAACTTTGAAACCAGCCATTGTTTTCAAAAATGCATGTATTAGGAGAAAGGCCACCCAGTGAGCTTGATGGCCAGGTGGGGATTTGAATTCTGCCTGTCCAGGTCCAACACTCTAGCCACTACACCACACTGCCTCTCAGTTGGAGTTGGAGTCAAATACCACCTGGAAGGCACCATGTTAGCCACCTCTGTATAATTCAGTCAAAAACTTCCCTGTATAAACAGACTTGCATGTACAGTGGTACCTTGGTTTACGAACTTAATCCGTTCCAGAAGTCCGTTATTAAACCAAAGCATTCTTAAACCAAGGTGTGCTTTCCCATAGTAGTGGGGGACTCAATTTACAAATGGAACAAACTCAAAAGGAAGTGAAACATGTTCTTATTCCAAGGCAAAGTTCCCAGACCAAAACACCTTTCCCAGACCAAAACACCTACTTCTGGGTTTGCAGCGTTCTTAATCCAAGTTGTTCATAAACTAAGCTGTTCTTAAACCAAGGTAGCACTGTAAATAAATTGGTATTAGGAATTGCTTGACCTTGTTACTCTCTCTCTCTCTCTCTCTCTCTCTCTTTCCCTCTAGTTTGGCCTTTGGGCTGCCTGGCTCACTTGGCTCGGAATTACCATTTTGGCCTTTTTGAAAGTTTACCATAACTACCGGCAGGAGGACCTTGTGGAAAGCCTGATTCATGAGAAGGAGCTTTTGCTAGGAAGATCCTCATCACGAACTTCTTTCCAGGAGGAGAAAAGTGGCATGATCTAATGGGCAGACAAGCCAGTCTACCTAGCAGGTTGTAGGGGTTTAAAATAAAAATAAAAATAATTATAATAATTTGGCAGTTCTAGGTGGAGTTCAAGAAAATGGTATTGATTTTAAGAAAGGAAAGTGAATCTGGATCCCGTTAAGGAGATGGTGTCTGTATGTAGACACATCCCCATTGGTACTGACACACAGGACTGGTTCACACAGGCATGTCCATCACTCTCTCTCTCATCAGCTGACCTTGAGGAATCTCAGCCAAATGTACAAACTCACTTGAAAAGAATTGGGTTATATTGAAGGTCCATCCCTGGGGATTCATTTATGATGGCCCATTCACACACATGCAAACCATCCTTGATGCTGCAGTTGCCATGTGATGGCTATGCCCGCATGAACCAATCTGTAGACTGCAAGCTGTGTGCCACTACTTTGAAATAGATTCTCTTTCTTGGCTGTCATGTTCCTTCTCCAGATGTTTGATGAGTCATACACTCCTCCGCTCCATCACAAATATAATGTCATGCAGGATGCGGGCACTCAACTCTGATGTCCAGTTACGTTGGATGCCCAGTTATTCTCCCCCCTCAAAGAGGAGGAATGAGGGTGAGAATTATCCAAACTGAGCATCCATGGGATTCGGAAATCTGTATTTAGTGCCTGCATCATATGTGTGATGTTATCTTTTTGCTGAGTTTCTCCTCTCCCACCTGACAGCTCTTTCTGACCCAGTGAGTGGATGATCTGCAGTTTGCAACACTTGCAAACTCATGCTCAAAATGTACCTCTAAAGAACTGTTGTGTGACTCAGACAGTATCTCTGGGTGTGACCACCAGTGCTACCTTTTGGTAGACCCACTAATAAGCCTTAGATCAGTGTCCTCTCTGGGCATTGATGCTCCCTTGTTGTGTGTGCCAAGTGGCCCAGCCATGTGCCCTTGAATGAAGAGTGCAACTGAGTCTTCGTACATACTGCTGTACAGTCGTACCTTGGTTCTCAAATGTCATCCATTCCGGAAGTCCGTTCAACTTCCAAAAACATTTGAGAACCAAGGCACAGCTTCTGATTGGCTACAGGAGCTTCCTGCACTCAATCGGAAACTGCATCGGACATTCGACTTCCAAAAAACGTTTGCAAACCAGAACACTCACTTCTAGGTTTGCGACGTTCGGGAGCCAAAACGTACGAGTACCAAGGCATTCGAGAACCAAGGTATCACTGTACATGCAAAAGCTTCCTTGAAATCCAAATGCCCTGATTCTGCAGAGTTCTGGTTTACATGGAAGCCTTCTTGCATGCAGCTGAAGGCACAGAAACTCATTAGAGGTAGTCACACTCTTTTGACAAAGACTAGTGGGCAGAGTTACTTGTTATCACTCCCCTGTCGATAAACACAGGAGCATTAACGCCCAAGCAGGACTTCTTGCATCCTTGGCACAAGATCCATTCAAATGCAGAGGGGCTGTGTATGAGCTTTGCCTAGAAGACTTAAAAACCCTATGTTCTATCTACCCAGTGTCTGACATCTGTGGGTCAAATCACAGAACTTTCATACATTGGGGAAGGGAGGGTTTTTGTAAATTCAGCCATGATGCACAGGATTTATCAGCCAGCTGTTTAGATGTGACCATTGTGGTCCTGTGTTGAAAGTGTGCTGCATTGGGTCATATGCACATAATGTAGGCCCTGGGAACAGGCATGGTGATGATTTCAAAGTGTATTACCAGCTACACAAACCCAAGCTTTTTCTAAGTATCAGCATCATCTTACTGATTTATTTACATAATGATATGTTTGAAAAGAAACTCAAAAGCTTGCAGCAATGAGTATTGCTTATAGCAAAACCAGATACTGTTTGTTTCTTTCACGGATATTGCCCTGTGTGAAACAGGTACATAAGTGCCACATGAACACATTTACTGAAACATTTACTGAAGGAAAGTTGCACGTTCATGAATGAATGGAAGAATTCCAGATTGGAGTTCCTGATTCCAAAATGTTGAAAACCAAGGGGTTAAAAACCATGAGTATTTATGCAAAGTTTGAGGTGCCCCCCTCAAAAAACCTTGAATCACCGCTTTAAAAAGATTTTTTAAAATCCGAAGCATCATTTTACCAAATTTAATTTGTTGCAAACAGCAGCCAAGCTGAAAATCTGCAGATTGGAGTTTTGCTTTTAAATTTGTTTCAGTTCCATTAAAAAAAAATCTGCTCCTGGATTCAGTTGAAAAGATACGGAGCAGCATGGCTTGTTGGACACTTGTGTAGATTATGATAAAGATGTGTATTTGGAATGGGGTAGGAGGGGAAACTCATTGCATTATATTAGCTGCTCTCCGTAGATCTTCCCAGGAGATTTTGGAGGGCACTTTTGCTTAGCTTCGAGGTTGGCATGCAAAATATATTATTATTGCTTAGTAAAATGTAGTGAAATGGGCTATAGGTAACAGCTTGCCTTGTACAGCGATTGATATATAATGCTTGCTTCTTCATATATACAAGTAGAATCTTAATGACATATTCTAATGTAGTAATGTTCATCTGTAATGTTGCCTTCATACAGTATGTGGAATTATTCCAAGATACAAAGTACAGTTATCTATGTGCATAGCACAAACAACTACTTAGGCAGGATGTTCGTGGTTGAATTGGGGCACTCTCCCCCTTTTAGCAAACTGCCTGAGATGGAAGTTGCACTTCAGAATTATGGGATTAGGATTGGATTCAGGATTTGTTTTCAGGAACAGGCAGACTCAAGGAGGTTTATCACTAACCAAAGCTTGATACTTTGGCCATTGCTGTCGTCTGCTCTTATGGATAAGTCAGGTGGGGGAATAAAGTAATGCATTAATTACCCACCCTTTAACCTAAGGTCCAAGGGTTGCAGCGATGGGAACCACAGTTATAAAACAAATAAAACAGTTACAACTACAGAATCGTAGAATTGTAGAATTGGAAGGAACCTCAAGGGCCATCTAGTCTAACTCCCTGCAGTGCGGGAATCACAGCTAAATAACTGGCAAGAGGATATAGGATTATATTTAATCCTCTAGAGACCCACATGTATGGGTTAGCAGCAAAGGAAAAATGGCTGCAAGGCTGTTTTCAAAGAGTCCCAGTAGCAGAGTTCAGTTTGGCAGTTTAGTGAAGGTTAATTAGCATCCGTCTGTCTTTGGCGGTGAAGTCAAACCAATGGAGAATTACAGTGCCTGCTGTGACTGTAGGGACCAGTGTGGGAGAGACATGTTTTCTTGCAGCTGGAGCAGATGAAGGCATTCAGTTTTGCTGTTACAGATGCACCATGGCGTTACTTCTTTCTGCGCACCTCTCACCAGTCATTCCTCATCCCCACTTTCTTTCTGCATTAACCATCTGACAGGCTGATAGTTTAATTAGGTTTGCAAAATCCAAAGACATCAGGTCCCCTGGCCCCTGCTGCAAAATAATAATAATAATAATAATAATAATAATAATAATAATAATAATGCACTTGAAAAGGGGAAAAGTCTGTATTTCCCCATGATCTCCAGGACTTAAGAGCTATTACCTTTTATAAGCCATGGGGGCCACTTCCACAAGGCCTCCCCAATGCCAGAACATAATTCTGCTCATTTTTTAATAATGTCTTCTGTAGTGTTTACTTATGTATTTTATTCTGTGCTCTCCTTTCTCCTAGCACAGGATTCAAGGCAACCCACAACATGCATTAACAACAGATACAGCTAAAACACCCACCCACACCAATTTCACAGCCTGCAAAGTGCTTGATTGTTCTTCCATTGTGGATTTTCAGACCCAATGCTTACCTTTCTTTCCAAACCAAAGAACTCATTGTGTAGAGCCTTGCTTCTCTCTCTCAATCTGCGCCATCATTTTTGTTTGTTTCTGTTCCCTGCAGATGGATACAATCAGCAAACTGTTTTCTCACTAGCCATGAGTCTTGGTTTGCGTTTCCTCTGGTACACAGAAACAGAGCCAGCCCAGCCTGAGGCAAAGGGCAAGATGGCATCCTCATTTTTTCCTATATAACAGAAGATGCCTGGAGTGGCAGCTGATTCTTGCTTCAGTACAAGAGGGTAGCTCCTGTTGCCTTCCAGCACTCTCTGCTGGAGGTGCTTTGTCCACTCTTCCTAGTGGTAGGGCCGTTTTTACTTAATTGAACAGGTAAGGGATGTGGGTGGCGCTGTGGTCCAAACCACTGAGCCTCTTGGCTTGCTGATTGAAAGGTCGGTGGTTCGAGTCTGCACAACTGGATGATCACCTGTTGCTCTGTCCCAGCTTCTGCCAACCTAGCAGTTTGAAAGCATACCAGTGCAAGTAGATAAATAGGAACTGCTGCCACAGGAAGGTAAACCATGTTTCCGTGCACTCTGGCATTCGTCATGGTCCTCCATGCGCCAGTAGCGGTTTAGTCATGCTGACCACATGACCAGGAAAGCTGTCTGTGGACAAATGCTGGCTCCCTTAGCCTGAAAAGAAAGATGAGCACCGCACCCCAAAGTCGCATTTGACTGGACTTAACCATCCAGGGGCCCTTGACCTTTACCTTTTACCTACTTAATTGAGCAGTGGAACTAGGCTTGTCATGGAATCCCATGTCTAGCAGAAGGTGGGGTCTGCTTGGAGCCACGTTTGTGGAAGTAGGATACTGAGGAGTCCATACATAGGGTTGCCATACGTCCTCTTTTTCAAGGACATGCCTTCTTTTTCAGGGGTAGAATTTCTGTCCTGGCGGATTTTTTAAATTTGCCAAATGTCCTCGTTTTCCCCCTTTGGTACCCAGAGAGCCTGCATGCGTTCAGGAACTGCCGTTCCAGGAGTGTCAAAATTGGACAAGAGCTAATTCAGACATGCGTGTTTGGTTATTCTGAGCCCGGCTTCGGCTGGGGAGGGCGGGATATAACTAAAATTTTATTATTATTATTATTTTATTATTCCTTTACTTATTTTCAACAGCTGTCTCTTTCTCTCCCATAAAAGAAAAATAAATCAAGGCAGCAAACAATGTGATAGGAGATTAAAATGATACCAAACAATAACATCCATGCAATTAGGCTAAAACAACAATAAAACTCAAAGTCAATATGCTGGAAGAAGAACCCGTTTGTCCAAGGGAGTGCTGTCATGAGGCTGAACTTCCTTTCTTGTCACATCAGAAAGCCCCCATCCTGTGGCTCACTTACCTTAATATGGAGGGGCAACAGGGTCTTAGAAAATTATCTCAATAAGTGACCTGAGAACCAACATGAAACAGTGGTTAGAGTTTCTAGGCTGAGCCCAAAGGGTCATAAAAGGGATCCTGCAGGATCAAACCATAGGGGTATGTAAGCCAGCATCTTCTCTCCTGCACCTCCTTCCCCATCCCACCCCAGGCATTGGCAAATGTGTCCTCTCTTTTGCTCTTTAACGTATGGCAACCTTACCCATGCTGCCTGAGTAGAACTCTCAAAAATCAGAAAAGAGGGCCACCCATCAAGGCAACTTTAAGGGCTTGGAAGATGTCACCTTCTATCTGCAAGCGTGCAGCCACCATGTTTATGCCATTTCCAGTGAGAAAGCAAAAGCATTCACAAAATGCAAAAACACATTCCCTACCACTCGGCTGAACCTTCCTTTCCTGCAATTCCCAGTAGTGAAAAAGCAAATTCAGTGTACATTTAATGATAACTTTCTACTGGTAGATGTTTGAACTCTTATTGTATATTTGTGTACATAAAGGAGGGGATGAATGCTTCTGTGATGTGTGTGTTGTGTGTGTGTGTTGTGTGTGTGTGCATTCCCTAGCCCAAACTTGAACTTTTTCTGGATTCAGGAGCAAAGCACCAAACAAGGCATAATGTCAGGTGGTCCACAAGTGGTTTTAAGAAAGATCTCTTAAGTCACTTTCTGGGAGAGGGGCTCAAAATGCAGTTGTGTGTATGTATCACATCCACCAACTTTTAAGACCTAAGATTTAGAACCTGACCTTCTGAACAGATTTACTATTGCACGATGCATAACTGTCAAATTCAAAATAGTTAAGAAATTGGGACTGGAATAGGTTGCGCTCATTTCAGAGCTTGTTATCACGATGCTATTTGAGTATTTGCACTCACAATCTGCATTGTCTTTTTTTGGTGTATAGATAGGCATGGAATGCATGCAAAGTGCAGGGAAAACATTGAGCTTGGAAATGCAAAGTGCTGCTTGTTTTATACAAAACTGAATAGGGAGTAGGTTTTTTTTTTTTTTTAAGATGTACCCCAAACCCCCATTGATGACCTTCTGCTGTAATACTTTGTATACATCAAGCAAATCTGAGATTGCAAGGCCCATTCTCCTTGTTTGAACCAACGATTGAGTTTCCATTGTCTTTGGTGGGGACAGGGTTGCCTAAAACAGGAAATTATTGTTTGATATCAGTTGTTTGCCCACCACCCCTTCTGGAGAGCGTATTGGGCTCTTGATCTGGTGCCATATTAAAATAAATTGTTTGAAAATTTAATGCGTTTTGGTGTTTTATTTAAACACAATCAGAATAATTAGATTTTTTTAGCACAAGATGTATGAAGCAACTGATGGTTGGGAACTGAATAGTGTGTCTCCTTTATAGGCTATACGAGTCTTGCTGGCAAGTATTGTGCAGATCTAGGAATCTAACAAGGATATAATTCTTTTTTTAAAAAACAAAACCTTTTCTTGTGTGTCTAACCTCATTTTTCAGATTTTTTCTTGCACAGTTCTATAGAAGCTGGGAGGGCTGCTCCCCATTTTCATTTTCCAGCTGCTGACATGTATTAAACGGCAGCTAAAATAAACTCCTTTTCATGTATATATTTTTTATTTTTTGCTATGTAAACAAGAACTGTTTGTCGCAGCGGGGATAATGCCTGAATACGAAGAGAAGTCAAATATGGTTCACGTAATCGGTGCAGGCAGGTGGTCTCAATTATGGTGCAGAATCCACACCGGGAAGAACATTGCCTACGTCGACCTTTAATGCAAGTGGGTCAGTGTCTATTTTAAAAGGTTCCCAGCAATGTATCATCCATTAATGCCATCCTCCGAGGCAGGTGTTATAAATATGGTCAGAATAATTCCTTTTAATGCTCTCCATATTTTATTTTAATTTTTGCGGGGGATGTTTCCAACTGAAAACAAAAATGGTAACCTGCAAATGAGTTTCTGTCTTCGGTCAATGCCTGTTCAACACTTTTTCATCTGCCATGTAATGTTCCTTCTGCCCTTGCAATGAATCAACCTTTCAGTGTGGTAGCAACCATTAGGACGTAAGTGGAGTTTGTTGCATCAGGCCAATGGCCCTCAGTCTAGCATGTGCAAAAGAAAAAGCGTCCCAAAGCGCCAAAATTCTGACACGCTTTTTCCACACAAAAGGTGGTAAACATATACCATTAGTCCTGGAAGTGCTCCAAGCTAAACCCCTAGCACAGTTATTATAACTAACTATCTTTATTACGGTCCAGAGACCCAACAAAACATTACAAATCAATACAGAGTTCATACAGCCTACCTCCAGGTTAATCAAGCACTTTGTTTGGAATATAGGGCTCATTTGTTCTTGCAACCACCGATAAAAACTTTGCCACTGCCAACGTTCTAGCTTTTTTCCGGTCTTCCAGTAGGAACCTGACATAGTGAGCCTCTGACTTTCCCGGGAAAGGCACCAGCAAGGGTAGTATCAGTTCAGCCCTGGCCTGCTCATATTTCGCACAATGTAACAAAATATGATCTATGGAATTGATGTGTTGAGCACACATGGGTTATTATATGGGGCTCACTTTGGATCTATGGAAGCTGTCCAATCAAAGTTCTTAAGGCAAATTTTCTCTGTACCACCCTGTGTCCCAAACGCATCATTGTGCCTAGAGGCTAATATTTCCTTGGTAGAATTATGGATCTGGCATAGGACACTTAACTATTGGCTTTGCCTAAATGCAAACTCCCCCCCCCCCACGTCTAATAACTCTAGTGCTTCAAGATTGTCACAAGAGCGCCTGGACTAAAATTGTCTATCAAAAACTTCACTTTTGTGGTTTATCACCACAACAGCTACTCAGTTTGGGTTTTAGTAAAGCAAACAGTCTTAATTTGTCAGTGCCTAAATGATATCGAGCATTAGAACAACTTGGCGACAATAAGGAAATTTTGCCCACGGTTTGACTATTTTCCACCTTCCCATTTCAACTCTCTGGCACTCTATCTGCATAACCTAGCAATTCTAAAACATAGACATGCTTTTATTCTTGCAAGATTGAATGTATTGCCCTTGGCTGTACTTGAGGGATGATTCCAACAGATTCCACACAAAAAACACCTATGCCCATGTGGAGATGGCAGTACCAAATTGGTGGCCGTGTCCTTCTGGCTTGCCCTCTTTATAAAGGCTTGAGGAATGAGATTATCACCCCTCTTTTATTGTCCATTCCGGGTCGCCCAACCACTGCCACAGTGTCCATCCTTTTGGCAGATCAAGATGAGCTGGGGCAATCAGAATAAGACCCACTATTTGACTACTGATTCAAAACCCTAAAATGTATTTTATATAATTGACTTTTTATTTGTATTCTTTGTATATCGTATTGTTGTTTTATTGCTATGGCCGATGGCTGACGCAAATAAAGATTCCTTCCTTCCTTCCTTCCTTCCTTCTTTCCTGTTCTCATAGTGGCCAACCAGATAATAGAGTTATAAGATTGTACAGTTGGAAGGGATCATCTGGTCCAACAGCCTGCAATGCAGATACTGGTGGGAAACCAGCAAGCTGGATTCAAGTTCTCTCCCATCCTGTGGTTTAATTCCTGCCACTGACTGTGGAGCCAAAGCGTTGCCATTGTGGCTAGTGGTCATCAATAGCCTTGTCCTCCATGAATTTGCCAAAATCTCTCATCACCGACTCCTGTGGCTGTGAGTTCCACAGTTTTAACTATCCACTTTCTCAATGCCACACATAATCTTAGAAAGTTTCTAACCTGACTTTTCAGCAGAGGCTGGTCCATTAGGGCAAATAGGGCAGTGGCCCACCGGCCTCATCCTGCTCTCAGCCAATCCATTCTTCTTCTTTGGCAATCACTCGTAGCCGAGTAAGATTGTCTTCCATAAACACGGTTTTAACAATGAGTCCATAAGTGACTGTGGAGGTCAATTCTGGATCCACACGTCCTTCCACAGTGAGGACATTGATTTCCAGGCAGGAGTTGATCACAGTGTGGATTTGCCAAGCGTGCCTTCCTCTTAGCACATTTCTCCCTTGCGTTCTGAGTTCGAGTGTCTTCAAAGCCCATGACACCTTTGATAAGGCTGTTCTCCAACTGGAGCGCTCGCAGGCAAGTGTTTCCCAATTGTTGGTGTTTATACTACATTTTTTAAAAATTGCCTTGAGACAGTCTTTAAACCTCTTTTGTTGATCACCAGTATTAAGCTTTCTATTTTTAAGTTCAGAATAGAGTAGTTTCTTTGGAAGACTCCTGTGGATGTGAGTTCCACAGTTTTAACTATCCACTTTCTCAATGCCATGCACAATCTATCCTGACTTTTCAGCAGAGGCTGGTCGATTAGGACAAATAGGGCAGTGGCCCACCAGCTTCGTTCTGCCCTCTGCCAACCCATACCTGCCTCCTGTCGGGATGATGTCAGCAACTCCTGGCTGGTTGCCCAGGAAAGTATAAAGACAAGGGAAAGTTTCTTACAGTCCTTTTTTATTTCAAACTTTACACAGAGGCTATAGAACCCAGCATCTTGGATAAGGGCATTGTCTTGAGTGAATCTCTTCTCCCCTCCAATCTCTCCCATCCCTCATTCTTCGTCATCATCATCTCCTCTATGGGTGCTGCTAAGGACCCTCTGTCTTTGAGCTCTTTGCTCTCCTACTTTTAAGGCTCGCCGGGTTCTGGAAGATGGACGGTTTGGAATGCTTTCTACTGACAACATGTCAGCCACCTGTTGCTCTGGCTCTCCCATTGTTTCCCAACCCACCATCTGCCTCTGAGCTGTGACCTCCCTCAAACCCCTGTTGTAAATCTAGACTGTCTTCCTCCTCCTCCTCCCTGGAAGGGTCAGGATGGGGAGGCGGTTTCCACCATTCCTGTCCCTGACACCTCCCTTCTTACAGCCAATTTGGGGTGTGTGTGTGATGCTGGTTGTCAGCTTCCTCCTTCTCAGTCTGTTTTGCCCTCAGCAGGGAGGCAGCGAATAGGGACAAACCTAGAATTGGTTGGCCCCAGCTACTCTTGGCCTCTTGGTCTTCCATTGCACCAGTCTCACTAGTTCCATTCCACCAGCAGTACCTACTCTTCGGAACTACCTGTCCATTGATTTTAGGCAGGTGTCTTCACTGCAGTGTTTTCAGCATCTGCTAACCCCCCCTCCAGCAAGCCTATCCATGCCATTGTTCATACACAATATTATTGTGTACAATTTTTTTTAAGTTGCTGATTTTATTTATGTTTTGCTAAGGTTGCATGCCAGCCTCGTTTAAACATTTGCTTTTATTGGCATTGTTAAACTAATCTTTTATATAGTTCTTTGTAGACCTTTCATAGGCAGGGACTTTAAATGTATAGTGCAGACAGGACCACAATGTGTGACAAGCAGATTTAGTAACTGTTACCAGCATTTATTCATTCTTAATCATAATTTTGCAATGCAGAAGGCATTTTTTTGCATTGTGTTCGTTTTTTAAAGAGTCTTGGTGTGATTCCAGTAAGCTAAAAATCACATCAATGTCTTAAAAAAAACACCTTTTTATAACCAATTTGTATTAGTATATACAATATTTTATTAAACCATGAACCAACGATAGTGGAGACTGCAACATTCCTGTAATTTTTAATTGTGTGGTTAGACACCTGGTCGCCTATCTTTTGAAAGCTTGCAGCAGCTATCCATAAGCTGACATCTATAGAATAGGTTTCAAACCGTGCAATGGATAAAATGTGATATACATACCACTCACAAATACCCACATTGCTTAACCCTCACCTCAAAATATACATCAGACACAAAGAGGCTTGACTCAGCTCCAGCGAAACACTTTTACACCCCATTGGTTCCAGTGGGGGAGAGTAAAATATGCACAGCTACTCTCAGTTTCATCCAAGCCAAAATTTGAGTTGAATTCGAAGGCTCCTCCCCGAAGAAACTGCTGGGGAATTTCAAAGGAAGCAAGTTTTGATAAGGTTATACACTCTGTCTGTCCACACGTTCCTCTGTAAGCAACACCCAACATTTATCATTTAAAAATAAGTCATTTTTGAAGACTTAGTCTTTTGTATGGTCTAGCTCATGGGTTTATTATTATTATTATTTTAAGACGTTTGATTGGCAATACTTTGAAATCCTGTTTGCAGCTCCCACACATCCCCAGGTTGGAAATAAAGAATATTCTCAATGCTTCAAGGCTCTTACACAATGGGCCTCTAATTGCAATTGAGATTGCTAGGAGACGATAATGGCATTATGAAAAGAAATGCGGAACCCAAATGACGGCGATAAGAAAGGAAAAATGCCCACCGTGTGTAGCGTCGTAATTTTGCAAGAAGACAGCTGCTTCATTTTCCGTTTAATTTCCCCCCTCTTAAATAAAGAGGCTCTTTTTCTCTCTCAGAGACATTCGGACGGTATCCCAGAGGAAGCGAGCCATTGTTCCCAGCCCTGCATGGTTCCATGTGTGAGGCTTTCTACAGCCTCATAAACCAGGCCCAACATTTCACAGCAACGTGCCTGATCTGAAGGACGACGATAACAAGCTGGGTGTGAAACTCTTCCAAGACTTTGAAATCTCGCCTCACGCTGCCGTAGTAGAGACTTAACGCCAAAAGCAGGAGCGCACAAAGGAAAATCCCCAGGAACAAAGGCAGTACGCTTGCAGGCCTCTTGTGCGCTGGGATGTAGTGGAGGAGAACAGAAAGAAGAGAGGTTAAAATTAGGTCCTCCCCAGTCGTATTGAAACACACCCCTACCTCCCCTTTTGCTGGAGAAATCTTAACTTTTGGTGTCATATCACAGACCCTCCAAGTGTCCTGATTCCACCCCCCACCCCCCCGTGCAGTTGGGGAGGCTGAGAGGTTGCAGGTGACTCAAGGTGACCAATGTAGATGTGTGGGAGATCTAACGCGGAAGAAGCTTCCTGATGCAGAATAGACTGTCCCTATTTTCATCTGTGGGTTAAACCACAGAGCCTAGGACTTGCTGATCAGAAGGTCGGCGGCTCGAATCCCCGTGACGGGGTGAGCTCCCGTTGCTCGGTCCCTGCTCCTGCCAACCTAGCAGCTCGAAAGCACGTCAAAGTGCAAGTAGATAAATAGGTACCGCTCCGGCGGGAAGGTAAACGGCGTTTCCGTCCACTGCTCTGGTTTGCCAGAAGCGGCTTAGTCATGCTGGCCACATGACCCGGAATCTGTACGCCAGCTCCCTTGGCCAATAAAGCGAGATGAGCGCCGCAACCCCAGAGTCGGTCATGACTGGACCTAACGGTCAGGGGTCCCTTTACCTTTACCTTTATTTTCATCTCAGAAATGTTGGAAGGTATGATATCCATTTCTTTTTATTTGGGGGGCAATTAAGCATGCTGCTCTCAGAGGATCTCCCTCTGCGAATACTGCGCTACCTCCTTGTGGGAATGTTGTGGATATCAGGAGAGGATATATTGATTAAATATTATCCTTCCTCACTCACGCTAGTGAGCTGCTGGCAGAGTACATTCCCCTGTATATTGCAGGAAGCTAGTTGGTAGATTCGTTTGAATCTCTTGAGTTAAGCAATCCAGCCTGGCTTGTCCAGATTGGATTTGTTCCTGGTAAATCCCTTTGTTCCCTCTTAAACAGAATAAAGACACAACAGTCTTCTCTTAAAAGCAAGGAGAAGTTTCCTTACATTCAGTTCACAGTATGATACTGAATGTAAGTCGTTCGTAGTTACAGAAGAGAGTGTGGGTTCATCCCATATGTTGATTGTGCCCATGCGCTGCTGGCTGAGAGCCAGCAGACAGAAAAAGCATCAAGATGGAATAAAGTGAAGAAGAAGGGTCAAGAGAGAAGGGAAGATGGCTGTGTGACCCACCCTTTCATGGTCACACCCCAGGGTCATGCCCATCTACCTGGTCACACGCAGGGGGAGGAAGCTCCAGACCAGGTGTCACAGGAAGTCCTCCTGGCTGGAGTAACATCCCCCTGTGTGTCCCCTCTGGGCAAACAAGAAATGTATTTGACTGCTTTCTGTGATGTTACATCCCACGCTCCTCACCACTCTTGATGCTGCCCACTCACCTCTTCCTCTGGCCCCAATCCACACCACATTCCAGAGGGAACATAGGCACACAGGAAGTTGTCTTATGCCCAGTCAAACCATTGGCCCATCTATCTTAGTAGCATCTGCACTGACTGACAGAAGTTCTCCAGGGTTTCAGAAAGAAGGGGCATGCTCACCCCACCTGGAGAAGTCGGGGGTGGAACCTGGGATCTTCTCCATCCGAGGCAGATGCTCCCTCAGTGGTCCCTTTCATACCAACAATTGTACGTGTGTAGAGATAGCTAATATCTGTGTTCAGTGTAATGCGTGAAGAAGTCACCTTCCTTGGAGGTTTTTAAGCAGAGGTTGGATGCTCCCTCAGTGGTCCCTTTCATACCAAAAATTGTACGTGTGTAGAGATAGCTAATATCTGTGTTCAGTGTAATGCGTGAAGAAGTCACCTTCCTTGGAGATTTTTAAGCAGAGGTTGGATGGTTATCCGTCACGGATGCTTTAGCTGTGATTCCTACATTGCAGGGTGGGGTGGGGTTGGACTAGATGACCCTTGGGTCCCTTCCAACTCTACGGTTCTGTGATTCCACGATTCTATGAAGTCTAAGCACACGACTGGAAATGTCCTACCTGGAGATGCTGAGGATTGAACCTGGGACCTTCTAAATAAATAAATAAAATAAATAAATAAATAAATAAATAAATAAACCTTTATTGTTACTATGCCACCTGTGTGCAGTGAAATTAAATGAGCCCCCCCCCCATACACTCAGTCTTGTTCACGCTCTGTGTGCTTGGCAGAAGTCAATTATACCACAGCAGCCCAACAGCCCACAGATAAAAGCTGTTCTTTAATTTGTTGGTGCGGCTGACTATACTTCTGTACAGTGGTTCCTCGGGTTACAGATGCTTCAGGTTATAGACGCTTCAGGTTACAGACTCCGCTAACCCAGAAATAGTACCTCGGGTTAAGAACTTTGCTTCAGGATGAGAACAGAAGTCGTGCGGCGGCGGTGCAGTGGCAGCAGGAGGCCCCATTAGCTAAAGTGGTTCCTCAGGTTAAGAACAGTTTCAGGTTAAGAACAGACCTCCAGAACGAATTAAGTTCTTAACCCGAGGTACCACTGTATCTCCTGCCTGAAGGTAGGAGATTAAAGAAGTGCTGGCCAGAGTGTGAGTCATCCCTAAGAATTTTCCTCGCTCTCCTGAGGCAGCAGTCTCCCGCAATGTCATCTAGCGAATTCCAAGGACAGCCCATGATGTCATGGGCTGTATTCGCCACCCTCTGTAGGGACTTCCTGTCTGCGGTTGTCAAACCAACATACCACACTGTTATACAGTATGAAAGGACACTTTCTATTGTGGCCCAGTTGAAGGAGATCATCAATTTTTGTTTGACATTGTTCTTTCGCAAGACCCTGAGGAAATGGAGTCTCTGTTGGGCCTTCCTAACCACCTGGATTGCATTGATTTTCCAAGTTTTTCTGCATGCAATAGTGTACCGGTATATTAGGGCCAAAGCACTGTTTAATTTTAGCATTTAAAATGGTGATGAATTTTCACAAGGCCTGTTGTTTAAAGTCACAAACTGATATGTAGAGCATTTTATGATAAAGACTGCAAAATAAGAAACCAAGACACTACGGGACTTAAAACATCTCTTTGTGGTACAATAATGTGTTGACTCTGACTATTGCAGAAAAAATAATGCACAAATAATGCATTTTTTTTTAAGGTAAGGAAGACCTGGAACATTTCTGCACCTTTTGGTGGGATTTCATTTGTTGTATGTTGAATTCAGATATACCAAACTCTTACCCCACCAAATAAAAATTTGGCTGCCGTGATGTGTTTTATTCTTTTACAACATTACCTGCTCTCTATTTATTTGGAAAATACAACCTCCGTAGTGCTCCTTAGGATGAATGGTTGAGAGAGCTGGGTATGTTTAGATGAGAGCAATTTTCAAATATCTCAAGGGCTTTCACATGAAAGATGGAGCAAGCTTGCTTTTTTGCTGCTCTGGCGGCTAGGACCTGAATGAATGGCTTCAAGTCACAAGAAAGGAGATTCCAGCTAAATACCAGGAAGAGCTTTCTGACAGTAGGAGCAGTTCGACAGAGAAACGGACTCCCTCTGGAGGTTGTGGACTCTTCTTCCTTGGAGGTTTTTAAGCAGAGATTGGATGGCCATCTGTCATGGATGCCTTAGTTGAGATTCCTGCATTGCAGGGGGTTGGGTTCCATTTTAGCTCTTACAGTTCCTTTATTTCATAACTTTGATTCTATTCCTTCCTCTTTGTACTTTTGGTTTTACATCAATACAAACCCAAAACTGAAGGAGGGAAAAACGAGAAATTGAGAGAGGCCAAAATTGACAGATTCAGAATTGAATCTGAATTCTGAATTGAATTCAGAAATGAATCTGAATTCTGAATTGAATTCAGAATTGACAGATTCCCTCCCCCTCCCCTTTTTATGAAGATTACCCACTCTGGGATCCCACAGCTAATTCTCCCCTGGTTTCCTCGCTGGCCCAAATAGGACTAAATTAGCCAGCTAGCCCTGGTGATCACCTAATGTTTATTGGATGGATTTCCCCCCTAAATTGATTTTTGAATTCTTAATTTATTGTTATTCACGTTTTATACTGTATTTTATGCTGTTTTCTGTTGCATCAATTAAGTGTTTTAAATTTGTTGTTAGCCACGCTGAACCGGGAAGGGCAGGGTCTAAAGAAAAATGTATTATTATTATTATTATTATTATTATTATTATTATTATTATCTAAGAAGAGCCTGATGGATCAGGCCAATGGCCCGTCCAGTCTAGCATCCTTTTCTCACGGAAGCCAACCAGACGGCCGTCGGAAACCCATGAGCAGGTTCTGAGCCCAAGAGCACTCTAGCAGCTGGTATTCAGAAGCATTACTGGCTTCTGCTGTGGAGGCAGAGCCGAGCCATCAGGTCTGGGAGCCATCAGTAGCCCTCTCCTCCATGAATTTTGCCTATTCTTTTAAAGCCATCCAAGTTGGTGGCCATCTCTGCCTCTTGTGGCAGTGAATTCCATGGTTTAACTATCCCTACACCTTGGTACAAATATGGTATTATACACCTGTAAGGTTATATCATATTACAAAATCTGGAAGTAAGAATTGTTGGAGGAAATGTGGAGTGATGGGAACGTACAGTCATATGTGGTGGGACTGTCCATTAGTTAATGAAATTTGGAAACAGATTGGTATAGAAAATATTGGGAATTGTGGGTAGGAAGGTGGGAATATCTAAATTAATGGTTCTTATTAGTCTGAGTTAAAAACAAAAGAGGAATGTAAATGGGTAAAACTGATGGTAACTACAGCCAGACAGGTTATAGCGAGTAATTGGAAAAATGAAGAAGAGCTAGGGGTGAACCAATGGAGGAAAAAACTGAATATTATAATTTTAGAATATCTAACTGTGAAGATACACAGAATGAAAGGGTTTAAGATCAGTGAGAAAGAGGAGGATTGGTTTGAGAAGATATTGAATTATTTGGGTAGGTTTGAACAATTTGGGGCAATTAAAATGTTAAAAGTTAAACAAACCCTGTGGAGGGAGGAGTGTTAACGTATATAAAATTGTATATATGGTTGATGTGAATA